TACGTTAAACGTTAGAGCACAAGTACAGAGCGAATAATAAAAAAATATACCGCAACTTAAAATAAGGTTGTCAACATGTCACAAGACAAAATTCTCCATTGGAGAGAGTGAGAGGAGAGAGTTCTTATTTCTGCCGCGACGGTACGGCGCTACCGTCAACGCAGAGTTCTCGGCTCAGGGACCAGGAGCCTTAACCAGGGTAATTTATGAAAACTGTCAACGATTTCATACTCTCATACCTTTCGTCATACTTTCTCTGTAATATACGAAAGATTGCGTTCACTGCCGTTATTATCAAATTTTTATTTCCATGTCTTTGATAGTGCTATATATTTTTAAGTTTACTGAAAGTTATATTTATTCACAAAAAGTGAATGTCTATTTATCACAGCTTAGAACACCTCGTGTAAATTTCTTGCTACATTATTAAAAAATCATTAGAAGAGAACAATAGACTGTCGTAACTGAACTTCAGAAACATGTTGTCGTTAATTCGTTTTGCTACTGATTAAATGCCACTGGAAATATCACGGTATTATATAATTTTGTATTAAAGCGCTCATGATGCCTAAGAACGTGCGCGAAAATTCTATATTGCATAAGATATTGCACCATTACACAGAGTAAATAAAGAGCAATGACCGCAGGAATGCATTTTAATGTGCAAGGAACTTTACAGCGTAAATTAGTCGTTTTAATAGAAAAAATATATATGTAAACAGACAATAATTAGCTTTATAAATAGATTATTTGTATCTTTAAGAAACTTTAGTGTTTTACTTCTTTCTGAAAACAAAAAAATGCGTGATATATTCGTGTAAATATTTGATTCTAGGGTCGCATTGTGAACGATCCGCGACCTCGTCTCTCGGCTTCTCAGCAAGCCCAGATACTGAGCGATGTGCAACAGCACCAGCAACAGTACCGGCAACGTCCCATTCAAGATTTCAAGAATCCGCGGGTTTCCTCGTTCGAACAAGCACAATCGAGCACGCCGTACTCCTCCCTGGCCAAGTACAAAGTTGATCGAGCGAAGCAACAGTTGCAACAGTTGCAGCAGCAGCAACAACAAGTGCAACAGCTTCTGCAACAACAACAACAGAAGATCGCCCAGCAACTCGGTACTTCGAACTTCGTGAACGGTGGCAGCGGCGGTGGCAGCGGCGGTGGCAGCGGCGGCGTGCAAACGCCACAATACCAGCAACGGCAGCAATACCAGCAACAACAATACAATCAGTACAATCAGAATGGCTTCCAAAATCTTCAACAGGATCTGTCGCAACCGCTGTTTAGCGATCAGCAGACGGTACAGTTACAGGAATATCTCGAGAAGCAGCGCGAGCTGGAGCTGCTCCAGAAGCAACGGCAGCAGCTGCTGTACGAGCAACAGGAATTGCGCAGGCAGCTGGAACTGCTGCGACTTCAGCAACTCCAGAGGCTCACTTCCACTACACCACTTCCACCTACCGCGACATCGATCCCGATCACCGTTAGCACCACTTCCTCACCGTTGTTGCTCTCTTCGCCGTCGGCGCGACGTATCACGCCGTCGGAAGCGGAGCTTTTCCTTAAAGCAATTGCTAGCCATCAGAAGAAGTATACGACGACAGCAGCAAGCACGACTACAACGACCACTACCACGCAACCACCTCCGCCATCCAGACGTCTGATTACCTCTAATGCTCATCAGGAGACAGATATACCGGAGAACTTGCTCAGCCTGCTGCAGGGTCAAGAGTCAATTGTTGCAGCAAGGTAAACCGAAGCCGCAGATCAAGGTGATCTATCAGACCGATAAACCCAGCACGACGAGACAGACTTCCAGCGGCAGAAGCAGGAGCTCTCCACAGTCTGAGCGGACATTGTTGCTGAAGCAACTCAAACTCGCTCTATCTCAGTCCGGCGATGACGATGACGTTGTCAGGAATGTCACTACCAGGGATCTGATACTACCGAACGGCAAGAAGATTCAGGTTATTCACGCGCCGAACGGTTTATCATCCATCGCATCGAGTTCCACTATTCAGACGTCAGCTATACCGTCCTCGACGACCACCATCAAGCCTCCGAAGGCGCTCTTTGAGGAGCTGACGAAGGGCGGCGTATTGTCACCGGGTGCCGATTTCGAGATCATCCGGCAGAAGAGCGACGGCAGGCTCGAGGAGATCGGCAAGACGCCGATAATCCAGAATCTACCGGCAAAGAAAGTCACGTTCGTTTTGTTGGAGGAACAGCCGGACGGCAGTTACAAGGTGCAGGGTATCAAGGGTAACGCCAACGACAAGGAGAGTGGCACCGACGTCGAGTCCATCGTCGAGAAGATCAAGAAGGGCGAGCTGAAGCTGCCACCCAGCTCGCTCGGACCGACCACGCAATCGTCTACACTAGAACATCTCGAGTCCAGCATCGATCCGAATCTGATAGTGTCCACTGGCACGTCCAGAACGCCGATATCATCTCATCACTCCGTCAGCACGAAGGCGGCGACCTTCAGACCCACCACCGTCAGATCTACCTCGACCAGATACGAAAGGTGATTATCGCGATGATCGCATTCATATAATCCATTTCAAACAAATAACAAATAACAAATTTAAATTAGTGGTTAAAGTTTTTAAAAGTTTTTCATGTATAATTAAAGGTGACGTTAAGAGCGAAATTA